AAATTCTCTGGGTGCTGGTATCGTTTATGGGAGCCTGTGTCACCACAGCGTTGTTATGCATACAACTTTTGCTAATAACAAAGTGTTTGGCTAGTCGTGTCTTACTTCCTGTTGTGGCTGTGTAGTCGCACACAAACGAACAAAATCACTTCACCCAACTGGCTCTGTGCTAACCAAAAGACTAAACAACAAAAGGAGATAAAACCAACATCATCTACAGAAATAAATTGTAACAACTGCGAAAAACACTACACTGGCCAAAGTGGACGTCCCCTTCGTCCTCGTATCCATGATCATAAACTAGCCGTCAAAACGCATGGCGATTGATCTACCGCTGAACAGTCGATGCATAATCAGAACTATATAGAACATGTGTGTTTATGCCTGCTTTTTTAATTACTGTTCACGGTATTACAGGCAGATCACATATTTTCTCTCTCAAAAAGAATGATTACTGAAGAAAGAATATTGACATTTTCGATAACCTGCTCTTCATCATCAGGTTTGAGAGTCACATATAAATCCATAATAGTGAATGAGTGTTATTAACAACAACATTAATGTTGTTTAAATAGCATAGAATCAATAATCATAATAATAATAATATCAATGGATTACAGTTCGACAGCATCAACATAACACTACGTTACACTGAATATCAGACTGGCAAATTAGGAAAAATAATAATACATATTCATGAGTTTATAGTCTCCACGGAAGGCCGCTCAGGGCACTAGTAGTGGCTGGCTGTACTTGCTTCTTCTGCACACAGAGCACCGATTGTTTCAGACGAATCGCAAAAGCCTGTGCTGTTTGGAGTATGCTGTACCTAGATGTTTTTGTGAATCTATTTGGTACCCGGTAGACGATGATAGAGAAGGATTCTTCAATACTGGCTGACTTTGTGGCCGGTCGCTTTGGACCAGGAGGTCTAATATCAAACTATTGATGTTTTTTACTACACCTTTACTTAGCCATACATACTAGGAGATGTTCCCGAGCAATCATGAAGAATCAAGTTCCTAGAGAAACGGCCAATAGAACTCGCCCCACCACACGCGCAGTTGAATTGGTAGATATAGGTGGAAATCATCATCATCGGTAGTGAATAAAACATGAATTGTCGTTTACCACCATTAAAAGTTCTTTGAACTGATTTTCTTATCATCTTCGTAATTATTTCTCTAGGTATATCGCTCTTGAATTGCAAGTCATGTGTATAAAGGCGTCTTGTTTACGGATGCGGAATAGTCCATTTCCGCTTTCTTAGTCATATGTTTCTGATAGGATCCAGCATAAAATAGGATGTCATCCGTTCTCACGAATTGTGTGATTTATCTTTTGATGAAATTACTATGTGTGTGTGATCAATTCATCATCCTTTGTCTCACCTTGAACTTTGTTGGATCGCCAACCAATGCGAATAGTTATTGTCAACCAATAAGAACAGTCCGTTCTCACCTCATGGCTGTGAGCCGAGTTTATTATGGTAAAGAAAATGTATAAATATGACGTTTTGTTTCCTAATACATGTACAATACAATATCTAACAGTCACAGGTCGGCCTTTGTCTTATGATATTTGAGTGGCTCAGTGAATTGGAAGGTAATACAACGGACAAATAGACATATTAGCGTACCAGTCCAGTTCATTACCGTTATAAAAATTAGCAGGTGCAGACATAACAAGCGGCGATGAGTTTATTCAGTCCAGTGAAGTTATAGCAGTCTCCTAAAGAGATCGTCTGGGTAGATATTTTCAATCAAGGCATCATATATATACAATCCTTAGTTCATCTTCAATTACCTCTTCTCAGCAGCATAGAGCTCAGATCACGCATATTCTGTAAGTGATCCGGATAATTTCGGCTTTTCAAAGGAAACAGTGTTGGTGAAAATCCACCTCGAATCAAGAGTAGGAAAACACTACAAGTTAGATATACTGGGAATCCTTCGAAGAAGTGAAGACGGGAGTAAGACAAAGCTGGCTAGCTGTCTAATATCTTCAATGATTTTCCTGATTGTGGTAGACTGGATAATGCGACAGACAGCGGCGGGAAACGAGGAGACAGGCATAAAATGGACACACACAAAAAACTTGGAAGATCTGCATTTCGCTGATAACATATATATGTCTGATTTCCCACAAACTGGAAGATATGCAAGTGAAAAGCAACAAGTTAGCGATAGAAGAAGCATCATCCTTCAGGTGAACATAGAGAAAACAGAGGTGATGAAGATTCCTGGCAAACACCAACAGCAACAGCAGCAACAACAGACAACAATCAGCCAGCATAAATGGGAGAAATCTGAAAGAAGCAACCTCCTCTACCTACCTACCTATCTGGGAAGCATCGTCGTTTCAACTACAGGCACACGGAACTGAAGAGGATAGCATCAAAGCGAAGATCGGGAAGGCAAAGCAAGCTTTCAATTCTCTCAAGTCTATGTGGAGGTGATGAATAGCTTTCAGCATGAAAAAGAAAATGAGATCCAGATTTTCAACTCCAATGTGAAGTCAGTGCTACTTACTATACTGATCAGAGACTTGGACAGCGCGTCACGTAGGGCACTTCGAACAAACTATGCAACTTCATCATCAGCTGTCTTCGCTCAATACTACTCAAGATCAGATGGCTGGCCAGAAAATATCAGCAATAGTGAGGGATCTGTGGAAGCGAACCAACCCAGCAGGAACCGATTGTGCAAGAAATAAGCAGGAAGAAATAGAGGTGGTTTGGCTGGCCATCCTCTGAGGAAACCATTAAGTGACATCACTAGACAAGCCCTCGAGTGGAACCTGAAAGGGAAGCGGCGAGTTGGTCATCAGTGCGAGAGCGACATGGAGGAGGTGATCCGAAGAGGAAATGGAAGCATGTGGGAAGACGTGGAGCCAGGTGATGACAACGTTGGCAGAGAACCGAAAGCAATGGAGATGTGCAGCTGAAGCCTTATGTTCCCCTAGGAACTAAAGCAAACAATAATAATAAAAAATAATAATACTACTTGCTGGGAACACCAGGCTATGAACAACCGCATAACTACTGATTAGTTGATCAGGCTGAGGTAGATGTCACCGGACTCCAACCGAGAACCTACTGACTGTTAGTTAAGTGCTTAACCTAACTGGACTAAAACTCCAAAAGAGGAGAATGGACAGTATACGATAAACACGTGAATCTTACACACATCAGCATTTGAACTGTGTTTGCGTAATTCTGTTGAGAGATAGATAGATAGACAGACAGATACCACGAGGAAGAGACACATTACTAAAACTTCACATATATAGACAATTCCCAGTCGACAATCAGTAGTATAGACCATATCAGTCAAGTTTTGTTGTGAGCTGGATCATGCAACAGACCGTGCCTAGAGAGTGAGCGAGAAGACGGGCATACCTTGAACTAACAAGAAGACCCTAACAGATTTGAATTTCGTGGACGATTTATGTCGAATATCACAAACTAAAATCAACAATGTTGGTAGAAGAGGCTGGCTGGCTGACAGGCGGTAAAGACATGACTTCAACTGAACATAGAGAAGAGACAGGTGATGAGGATGCCTAACCAATCACAATCAGTGGAGGGAATTTAAAAAGAAAGCCCCTTCTTTCATTTAGTTGAGCAGGATCATTCGTCGCTCCAACCACCACCACCAACAACAGCAACATCCACCGCCAATCACCATCAACGGGAGGGATTTGAAAGAGGTTACTTCATTCACTCACTTATCTAGGGAGCATTGTCTCAACTACAGGCAGATGGAACGGACGAGGATGTCAAATCTAGAATCGAGAAGGCGAGAAACAAATTCATCAACCTGAAACCAATCTGGAAATCTTCGTCACTCAACTCAGCATCAACAACAAAATTCGGATTTTCAATACAAACGTCAAGTCACTTCTTCTATACGGATGGATCAGAAACTTGGCGGGTCACAAAGAATATTTCCAACAGCCTGTTGCAGACCTTTATCAACAACTGTCTTCGTTCTATACTGAAGATCAGATGGCCGGAAAGAACAAGAAGCAACAAGAAACTATGGGAGAAAACAAAACAAGAACCAATCGCCCAACAAATATGCAGGAGAAAGTGGAGATGGATTGGACACTCACTCGCTGAGGAGGCCACTCGCTGGGTGACATCGCGCGTCAGGCCAACGCTCGAGTGGAACCCGAAAGGGAAGCGGCGAGTGGGACGTCCAAGGGTGACATGGAGGATATCGTGTGAAGAGGAATTGAAACAGTATGGATTAACATGGATGCAGGTGAAAAGTACAGCAGAAGACAGAAGCAATTGGAGACGTGCAGTTGAAGCCCTATGTTCCACTAGGAACCCAAGGGAACAATAATAATAATTCCAACTACAAACAAGTGGACGTCAAAGTGTTCATTCTTCTATAAATCAGTATGTAAATCTACTGAAGTCTATCACAGTATATAGAATAAGATTTGGATTTTCAGCTCTCGTGTCAAATCACACTTAGTGCTTTTATATATCATTCGAAGACCAGATAGACTTTCCACAACAGCCTACCTTCACTGACTCTAGTCGTCAAGAATCTATTATTAGACAACAAATATGTCGTAAGAAATAGCAGATATGATCAGATATCCCCTTTGAGGCGATCATTGAGTAACATAACATCACAAGACAAGCAACAGTCCCCCGAGTGAAACGCGACTGTGAAGCAGGCGATGACTTAGTCATGTATGCATTCAAGGATGACATCATGCAGATCTTGTAGGCGTGTGTGTGTGCAAGTATGAGGAGTTTAGAACAAGAAAAATCCACTATTACCTAAATATACATGGAAATGTATTTCTGTATTTTCTTTCTTCAAAATATCGTCAATACGCTTATGCATAGCATACACTCTTAAGTAGTATAGTTGGATATTATTTGTACATTGAACTATAATAATAATTATTATTAGTAGTATTATTATAGTAAAAGCATAACTGAAAAAGAAAAGTAAGGAAAATAAATAGGCATATATCCCATAAAAACTGAAAATACAAATAATAATAATATTATTATTAATAATAGTAATAATAATACAGGTAGGCTAGTAATGTCTTCAATACTTGAGAAAATGCCATACACAGATATCAGTTTTCACTATACTACTCACAAAAATATAGCTGGTCATTCTTAAGGCGGGTGGGGGGTGGGCTACAAACAGAAAATAGTTAGCCATTGGACGGTGTTATGTACTACCAACTTCAACACACATACGGAGAATAATTCATGCACAGAAAGGACGACTCAAAAGTAAATGAATAGAGTAAGTAAAAACTAAAAATCAATAATTTATTTATTATTAATATTATTATTATTATTCGTCTTTCCTTTTTGAGAAAAAAGAATATAGAATATGGGAATAAAAAACAGGAAAAACGAAAAGAAAACCTTCAGCACATCAACAACAGCAAGGCAAAATCAATCGATATACAAAGGTAGAAAAGAGAGGAAGTCAATAGAAAGTTTGGAAAAAGGTGCGGGGAGGGGAGCGGTCGGTCAGGAGGATATTATATAATCTTATATGTGTGTTGGTATAATAAAGAAATTTCTGAATATTCTCTTTGTAAGGCAAATGAAAGGAACGCACACACACACACGCACCCACACATACAAACAGAGTATGGGGAATCAAAGCTCTGAAATGAAACTGAACTATTGAGTCGTCAGTTCGACTGCGTAAGATCAGCATACTGATTTCAGGCCCCTGTATAAGGAGGGCGAAATTTAGGTGTGTGTTATTTATTTATTTATTTATTTACTTGTCTACTGAAATAACCTACAAGGATAGGTGATAGTTGTCAGAGAATACAACGAGTAAGAGAGAGAGATACGGCAAACGAATTATTGTTTTAGTGGTACTATCCGTACTACTATTAATTTTAATAGTAGTATAAGTGTATTAGTATTAGTATTGCACATTGTTGTTGTACACCGGATTCTTTATGATGATTGCATCAAAAAAGAAAAATAGTTTTCAATAGAAGAGGAAAAAAAGAAGTAGAAATTAAAAAAGACAGAAACAAATAAACAAGAATGGGCAAAAGAGAGAGATGGAAGGGGGAAAAAGCAGGGGCGGCAAACACCACCAACCAACTCCCTTAAGCCAGCCACCAGCGTGAGGAGTGGCACGGGTGGTTGTGCTCGGCGCAAACGTGGTTAAACTGAGCATGCCAACTGAAGCGAAATCAAAGCCGGAGAAAAACGGAGGACTTGTTCAGTAATACTCGTCATCTAGTAATTCATTGTTACTAGTATTATTATTATTATTAGTAGTAGTATTATTATTACTGGTAGATTGTGTGATAAAAGCAACACCAGGCAGATGATAATCAGTTGAATATACAATATTATCACCTAATAATAATTGTTTAGAAAAATTATTACTGTTATTACTAATACTACTACTCGCTGTATTGTGATGAGTAGTATATGACGAGGAAGAGGAAGAAGTAGTAGTATTAGACGAGAAAGGCGGTATACTTGTCTGAAGAGCATTCATATTAGGCAGAATAGTAGCAGTAGGAGGAGTAGTGGTTGAAGAAGCAATCTGTTCATATGGTATAGATGATAACAGCTTTACAGAATCCTCTAGATGGTTACTTTTAGGATCTTTTACTTCAGGATACAGATGATGGTATTGACTAGGCGGTCGAGTTTGATGTACGGGCGGCTGTTTTGTATTCGATGGAACGCTGCTGCTGCTGCTGCTGTACGGTTGAGTCATTTTCATAAAATCAGATGAAATCATCGGTAGGCTGGCCGGTTGACTATTGGTGAATTGTACATCAGAAGTACTATCCTTGTTATTAATATTATTATTATTATTACTGGAGATAGTAGTGGAGACAGTACCAAAGGCCACTTGTTCTTTTGATGCAGTCATTAATACTGTTGTTGGTTGAGTGTTTTTCATTGGCAATTGGATAAATTCATTGGTGGTGTATTGAGCACTAGCTGGTTCAATTGGGATGAAACGGTGTAATTCTTGATTTAATTGTTCTAATTTATGTAAATATTCACAACTGGTAGCGCTGTCTATTTGACTGTTTAGTTCATTATTGGCATCGTTAGAAAATAATAATTTACCGACCACTAAAATAAGATTAGAAGAAAAGGAAAAAAGGGGAATTTTCAAGAGTTAGCTTGTGAAAATTAGATTTGTTTTTTTTTTTACCAGTTTGACCACGGTTGAGTATATCAATTAGAGAACCAATGAAAACCAGCACTAAAGTACTGGACAATCAGCTGTTTCATCAGTCTAATTTGGGAACCATAGGCAGTATGCACCGACCGACAGGGTTCGAACCCACGACCTTCCGGTTACAAGGCAAGCTAGCTCGTAGACCATTCAACAGCCACTGGGACGTAATCCAATTGCCAGCACATGAATTCTAACTTCTACCAATTCGTGATGGATTTAGCGTGACCACCAACCAATGTCATCGGTGGGAAATCAATCCTCACTCCCGACTGGATGGACCTTACTGGTCATGATGACTGCATCACGAATTGGTAGAAGTTAGAATTCATGGGCTGGCAATTGAATCGTGTCCCAGAGAGTGGCTGCATGGTATACGAGCTAGCTTGCCTTGTAACCGGAAGGTCCTGAGTTCGAATGGTAGTGGTGGGTGCGTACTGCCGATGATTCCCCAACACTAAGATGAAACAGCTGGCTGTCCAGCAGTACTCCCTGTTGGTTTTCAATAGTTCTCTAACTGATATCAAACCGTGGTCAATCTCGAAAAGGGGAATAAAAGCACACACATACACACACACACACAAAGAGAAATAGTAATATAAAACGTGTTGTACTCATCATAAGGAGGAACAAGATTCAAACACCTTCAACACTCATGCCAAGTTAGTAAGTGATTCTTAAGTGGTTCAGACATCTGGTGACAGCATCATGAAAAACACCTTCAACACAGTTGGCTTTGCTCAGAGTACTGAAGATCAGATGGATATAAACGACAAAGAACTCTGACAGACAACGAACCAATCAAGAACCTCTTACTCAGCCAAAAATATATGCAACAGGAAATGGTTTGGACAAACGCAAGCGAGACAGACTGGGTGAGTGATACCAGGTATCAGGCGGGCCTTCGAGGGGAAGCTGGATGAGAAAAAACAGATTGGGTGTATAGGTCAGAGGGAGATCGTGGAGCTGACCAGAAAGACTACAGAGAACAGCATGAAATCAGAATGTTCGACTGAAGCCTCATGTTATAAGGGGATAATAATATACAATGACAGTTTTAGTGTAGAACTTGGCACAGAAATGCACCAGACCAAGTGGCCACACTCCATGTCAACAAAAATATCCGGGGGAAGTATAACTACTTGAGAAATCGTGAGGATTTAATCGATCTGGGAGGTTACAAAGAGTGAATGCATCTCAGCCATTGACAACAACCTTGAGCCACATTATCAATAATCAATCAAAAGTCATTGATTCTTAGAATGTCGAGGACACCAGCCAGTTAGTCTACAGCTCCCCAGATGGTTAACTCAAACCAATGGATTGATGGCATGTTCTGATTTGACTACACCTCTACCTTTTTTCGAAACTAATCCAATATCAGCTAACATTGCTCAATGAGGAAGACTTGGCCTATTTATGTAACATATCACCTAACCATCTCAATCGATGTAGCTTCACTACACATTATCGATTGATTTGTCCTTCTCACTTACACTCAAAGACGACTAAGCGCTTCAAATGTCCCATTTTCTTCGGCAGCATCTCACAGACATACAGGAGGACAGAGCGAACTATTGCTCAGTAAGCATTTCTTTTGAATGATAGCCGGGGGTATCATGTCTCACGCCAAAAGATAACACATGCTGACGAACTCCACTCCCTGGAAGTTTTCAATGAACTAAAAAAGAACCCATAATCTAAACACTGATCAGTCAGTAATCAATGTGGCAGTGAAATAAATAATTTTGAAGAAATAAGGAACTTACACTGAAGTTGTTGATTAACTGCTTTCATATTTTCTAAAGTATCATTCAGTGCATACTTTGTTGAAGATTGTACATCAACGCTTCTTTGTTGAGATAACTGAGGATTCAACACTGCTGTACTACCTCTTCCAGAAATCGATTGATGCTGCTGTTGTTGTTGTTGGGTATCACTTTAAGATAGGCAAAGAAAAGAAAAATGATTTAGAAAAAAATAACAACAAATCACTGAAACCAGTTGGGAAATCTTCTGCACTCCGCCTCAGCCAACCAGCCAGCATAAACAACAAGATTCGGATTCTGTTGAACACAAATGTGAAGTCAGTCAGTCAGTCATTTCTTCTATGTGGGTCAGAAACTTGGTCAGCGTGTCACGAAAAGGATTTCCAATAGGCCACTGCAGACTTTCATCAACAGCCGCCCACTTCACCTGCTGGTTCCATACTCAAGATCAAGTGGCCAGCCGGCCAGCCAGAAAGAATTAGCAACAAGAAACTCTGGTTAGCTGGCTGGCTGGGAACAAACTAACAGGCGAGAGCCGATTGCTCAACAAAGGCATATGTAGGAGAGAGTGGAGATGGATTGATCGGACATACACCTCATCCAACAGTTGTACGACAATGCTGTATGCCAAGTGATCCACAACGGGAAACTTACGGAATCCTCCGAAAAAGTGAAGACAGGAGTAAGACAAGGCTGGCTGGCTGCCTACTATCGCTAATGATTTTGCTGTTTGCGGTACACTGGATAATGTAAAAGACAGCGGCGAGCAACGAAGAAACAGGCATAAAATGGACCCACAAAGAAACTTGCAGGATCTGGATTTCGCTGATAACATATTTATGTCTGATTTCCCACAAACTGAAAGATATGCAAGTGAAAAGCAACAAGTTGGTGATAGAAGAAGCATCAAAGATAGGACTTCATTCAGGTGAACATAGAGAAAACAGAGGTGATGGAGATTCCTGGTCAACACCAATAGCAGCAACAACAGACAACAATCAGCCAGCATAAATCGGAGAAATCTGAAAGAAGCAACCTCCTTTACCTACCTACAAACCTATTTGGGAAGCATCGTTTCAACTACAGGCGGACGGGACTGATGACAATATGATCAAAGCGAGGATCGAGAAAGCAAGACAAGCTTTCATTACTCTCAAGTCTGTGGAGACCGACACTCAGCATGAAAAACAAGATCCCGATTTTCAACTCCAATGTGAAGTTAGTGATAATTACTATACGGATCAGAGACTTGGCCAGCGCCGTGTCACGAAGGGCACTTCGAACAAACTATACATCTTCATCAATAGTTGTCTTCGCTCGATACTACTCATGATCAGATGTCCGGCCAGAAAAGATCAGCAATAGTGAGGGATCTCTTAGAGCGAACCAAGCCAGCAAGAACCAGTTGTGCAACAAATATGCAGGAAGAAATGGAAGTGGATTGGCTAGCCATACTCTGAGAAAACAAACCGTCATCAAGTGACATCACACGCCAGACTATCGCTCGAGTGGAACCCCAATGTGAAGCGATGAGTGGGTCATCGGTGCGAGGATGACATGGAGGAGATCGTGCGCGGAGGATGAAGAGATGATAGATTATGGGCAATCGTAGAGCTAGCCAGCTGAAGAGGGGTTCAGAAAATAGGATGAAGTGAAGATGTGTTGTTGAAGCTAGCCCCGTGTTCCACTCGGAACCGCAGGGAATAATAATAAATAAATAGCTGACCACAAGAACAAATACACAAAGAAAAGTGTTATTAGCATTATTTACCCCTTGGGTTCCCAATGGAGTAATGGGGCTTCAGCCGCGCATCGTCATCCCACTCTGTTCTTTGCAGTCTTATTAAGCTGGCTCCACAATTGTTTATACTACGCTTTCACTTCCTACTCACATAACCTCTGCTATGTCAACCTTTAACCCACACCCAAATCGTCGTTTCTCGTTGCGGTTCCACTAAAGGGCATCCTTCAAGTGTGAGATATCATTCAACAGTCTCTTCAGCGTATATCCAATACACATCTCCATTTTCTTCTGCATATTTGTTGATTGGACGGTTGCCAAAGTTCCTTGTGGCTTATCCTTTCTGGTGGCCCACCATTTGATCTTCAGTATCGAGCCAGCGAAGGAAGTAGCTGTTGATACAATTCTGAAGTAACCTGTTGGAAATGCTTAACGTGACGCTCTCACAAAGTTTCCGAATCATATAGAAGCACTGATTGACTTGATTGGCCTTGATGGTGAAGATCCGGATCTTGTTCCTGATGTTGAGGACAACAGAAAAGTGCTACACTGTTCGCTTTGATCGCGAGTTGATTTCAGTTAGAGAACCATTGGAAAACCAGCTGGGAGTACTGGACAGCTGTTTCGTCCTAGTACTTGGGACTCTTCATCAGTACACACCCACTGTGTCTAACAAGCAACTCTTATGTCTTCCCCACCTAAGCAGAATGTGATCCTACTCGATTAATACAATCATAGCACTGTGCCAATTTGTAACAGATATTTGTTATGCAAAATTATTCAAAACCGCTTGAACGTTTATCATGTGCTTCCCATACATGTGTTGTACTGTCATAAATATGCTGATCAATAATCTAAGCTGATGTAATAAACTCTAAGTTACATTTGTTTTGTGTGTATTTCTGTGTGCGTGTGTGTGTCAGTGTGAGTAGTGTTAGCGAAATATACAACATCTGAATACACATATAACCTAATGGATAAAGATCCGACGTCTAATGGTCTTTTTTCGATTGGTTGGAGGATTTCATCATGAGTTGACATCAGTTAGAAAACCATTGGAAAACCAGCAGGGAGTACTGGACAGATGTTTCATAGTAGTTTGGGTCTCTTCATCTGTGCGCACCTACTGACAGGGTTCGTAACCACGACCATTCACCATCTGGGACTCGATTTAATGGCCAGCACATGAATTCCAACTTCTACCAGCCAATTCATAACATAGCGCGACCACTTCACGATGTCTTCTTCGACGAGGTACTACCTCAACTTCAACCTGCTGGCTTCCTACTAGAAACCTAGGTCACTATGCCTGAATAGGGCCAGTCGCTAGTGAGTGTCAGATGAATTTTCAAATATTGGTTTTTGTAGGGATTTGGTATGATTCAAACCCCTGTGGGCGCGTACTTCTGAAGAGTCTTAAACTGGGACGAAATAGCTGTCCAGTATTCTCAGCTTGCTTTCCAATGGTTCTCTAATTGATGTCAGCTCATGATGAAATCCTCCAATCAATCAAACAAAAATCACTACAAAACCAATACTTGAAAACTGTCATTTAACCAACACTATAGGGTTAAGAGATTTGTCACCCACACACAAGCCACCGAAAGCATTTCCAACGGGCTGCTGTAGACTTACTATCAAAAGCTGTATTCCCTGTATCAATATCGAAGATCAGTTGATTGAGGTGTCAGGATGGATAAGCAAGTAACAATGGACTCTGGCAAAGAACCAGCCGACAAACTATTATCTAACAAATATGCTGAAGGAAATGAAGATAGATTGGATATATTCTGAAGAGGCCATTGAATGGCAACAAGCACTATGCTCTCTCTCTCTCTCTCTCTCAAGTGGAACCAGAATGACAGGCTAACAGGGAATTGGTTGAAAACAGTAACCATTGTTCTGTGATGGTGTGATACAGAAAATGTGCGTTCCAACGGAATATTATTCTCACATATTTCCTCAGTTCAATACTCCATTGGAAACATTTATTTCCCGATACGAATTTAAAACAAGCAATAAAGGTTAATAAAGCAGGATTTAATAAATTCATCAAATTTCGGTAGAACTCGTCAGCTGAATAATCTACATACACGGATATATATACTTCTGGAATTACATTGGGAGATATAAAACTGATAAGTAAACAATCTACATTGAATTAGTCATGCAGAAAGACAGGTGCGAATGTTTTTCCAGGTCATGTTCAAATAGGCAAGGGGAGAGAAAGTATGGGAGATCAAAATTAAGATAAATTGCATTACGCTTCAATTACATCACTTAGATAAACAATTAGACATTAAAGAATTTAACAAGAATTGCAACCAGAGGGATGTCAATAGTAATAGTTATAATAACAATAATAATAATAATAGGGTTGAAGTAAGTTAAGATAATGCTACTGATAAAGGATAGTTTTAAATGAATCAAGAATAATAATAATGAGAATAATAATAATAATAGGTAGAATTATAAGTAAAACGTATTACCATGGTAGATTCAGAGTCACGACCATCTCCTTTTGTACACAGAGACCTGGTTTGTAAACTCGAATTTCACAAGCCTCTGCAATTGCAAGCATCTTCTTGTTTCTTTGTCTGCTGACAATAGTGAATGACTTGACCGCGTCGATATTATGTCCGTAATCAATGTAGTTTGTTTACTTATCAGTCCTATATCTCCCAATGTAATTTCAAAAGTATATATATATCCGTTTATGTAGAGTATTCAGTCCTATATCTCCCACTGTAATTTTAAAAGTATATATCCGTGTATGTAGAGTATTCAGCTGACGAGTTCTACCGAAATTTGATGAATTCATTAAATCCTGCTTTATTAACCTTTATTGCTTGTTTCAATACTCCATTGCCAACAGAATACTATGCATATTTGAACATTCTATTTCATTTCGTTTAACGTAAACCGAAATCACACACTCAGTGATTGGTTAACGAATATAAACTGTGTATGTATGAACAGAGGTTTGATTGATGAAAAATATACCTTTGCTTCCATGTCTTGCTTTCTGCTGTTACAGTATGATGATTCATCGTGTGATCAGATGACTTACCTTGGTCTTGTTCAAATCGTCAACACCATTCAGAATTTTTATTTTTCACCTGCCTAGCCGAATCACCAACCAGTTAGAATAATCTATTTCCACTGTCCTAGGCCTTGTGCGTCAGTGGCACAGCGGTAGAGTGCTCGCCAACCATGTAGGCGGTCCAGGGTTCGATCCCCGGCCACCGACGCACTCCTTTACCTCACTAAGCCAACAATAAGACTGGTAAAGAGGGAAAGGTAAGCTAGGCATGAGGCTAGCAAGCCTATGCCGTAAAAATAATCACCACTGCTATAGAAACTTCCAGCATCTAGCTTGAAACCCTCCCTATGTTCCACTGGGAACGTAAAGGAATAAAAAAAAATAATTAAACTGCCCTAGGCCGATCCTAATGTGTTTAAAGATAAGACGTGCCTTTTCTCCTCTAATAGATTTGTATCCTAACAGTCACAGGCAAGCCAGTCTTAATCTTTTTTTGATATCAACATGACTCAGTGAAGCGGAAGGTACCACCACCGACGAATAGGCGTATTTAGCATGCTACCATTCCAGTTGTTCATTACGTCAGTATTATTATACGCACACACGCATAAGTCCACTCACTCGCTCTGTCATATCAACTGTCGACAAGTCCATAACAAATTGGCGATGAGTTCATAACACCTAGCGACATAGATCATAACAGAGGTAGGTGACGATTTGAGCATCCAAGGGTGACTGGCGTAGACGAGGTAGAAATATAAAAAACTTATGGTTATTTGTAGGGCGATGGCAGAGAGCAGAGTGAACTAGTGATGTTTTTGCTGAAGCCAGAGATATGTTCCAACAGGAACTCCAAGAAATCATAGCCTTAGTAATAGTAATGTGTCATCAACACACCTAAACAGTTTATCATGCATCGATTTTTCAATTTGAATACTACTAAATCTTTTCATATAAAAAATCATTTCGGAAGGAAGGAAAGGCGTCATACAAAGATTGGAAGAAAGGCTGGTTACCTTGTCAAGCTACCAAAGAAGGGCGACTTACACTTCAGTGTACAAGAACTGGTGTGGAATCATTCTTTTGTTCACGACGAGTAAAATACTAAATCATCCTGGAGAGAATAAGAGATGCACTGGATGCAGAACTTCGCCAACCACCAGAACACACTGGCCAGATTCAGGAAAGGCAAATCATGTGCTGATCAAATTGCAACTCTATGCATCATCATCGTCATCATCGAACAAAGCATAGAATGGCAGTCAGACCTCTACCTCAAAACGCTTTCGACAGACAGCGTTGACCGGGAAGTAATATGGAAAATGCTTAAACATTCTGGCATGCAGTGTCTACGTCTTTATCAACCTCATTCAACAACTGGCTATATGACAATGCCACGTGTCAGGTGATCCGAAACGGAGAACTCAGCGAGCTGATTCTGAGCTGCCCATATCACCGATCGCCCCAGCCACTAACTAAAACTAACTCTTGTGGATTTGATTGACTGATGAAGCCATGTTTTGGTTTGACCATCACTAGCACTTTTCTAACCTGATCCATCCTATGTCACCTAACATTCCCCGTCGAGTAAGACGATGCCTAAGCATACGTAACACATGCCCTAGCCCTCTCAATCGATCCAGCTTCATAAACTCATCGATTGACTTACCTTCTTCACCCAACACTCGATGCCTAACCTCGATACTACTCACTCTATTATACCACTTAACACGAAGATGGAACGCAGATACCTACGATCAAAGACAGCTAACCAGCCTTTTCGTGTCTTCCACTTTCAATGGCCATGTCTCACTCACAGTCAGCCATAAGGAAGGGCTGTGTGATCTGCTGAGCAATAAACAAGTCCTTTGGTCAACAGCCAGAGATAGCTTAAGTTCTTTGGCATACACCGAACAAGCCTATTGTATCCGTGATGAGATTTCGTCAGCGATCAACTCTCTGGCGTCGACTGATATAACTTCCCTCTAAATAAGTGGTGATCAACACGCGCTACCACTTCAATCCCTCCTTCTCTTTAAGCTAGAAGTGAGTCGATGTAATCCAGTCCAGTCCTGTAGCGTCCACCATCTTACATTTGACAGAGGGAGCGATTAGCATGCCAAACATTCGAAGACTGCTTTTCAATGTGTGAAGAAGACTCTGCTCTATTTTATCAGCGTCTTCACCTAGGAGGGAGGACTATATCATCTGTTTATTCGAAGTCATAGAGATTGTTCCTTGGTAACAAGTCAATCTCTGAGTTGCTGAAGTTACTTATGGTTAATTCCATTAGTACATCTATGATGAAATTAAATAGAAATGGGGACAGTGGGATGGAATCCTTGAAGGGAACACCACTACTTGTCATCACAGTTGTCAGATGAAAATTTTCCGTAGGCTCTCACCTGGCTGACTGCATGAGTTCAAGTAGAAATTCATAAATCAAAGGTGTGCGCAGTGTGCGTTGGTGGCACAGCGGTTAGGACTCTCGCCTACCATGTACATGGTCCGGGGTTCAATCCCCGGCCGACACGCACCTGATATCAATGGTCGGCCTACAAAATTTGGGCTACCAGTACCACATGCTGAAAATTCCATACTTGTACCAAAATACGGTGTGGAATCAAGCTATAATAAAAAAACAGTATATGAAAACCAAACATGCCACAAACGAACACTGAATTACCTTAATCGATGAGCTAATTTATCAGAGAACTGACGTAGTTTTATTGACAAATAACGTATTGTATCAACCATTAGAGAATAATAAATCTAAAAAATAAACAAAAAAAACAACAGAAAACAAACAAAGCTAGAATTGTGTAATGCACTCATTTCCATATTAGTTTATTTATTAGATATATCACACACATTGAATGAAACAGTATTATTATTTACTGGATAACGTAGTTTCGAACACAATTTATTATTGCTCATAATCCTGTCATCAATTATAATCACACAACTTCGAAACCTGAGTTTTACAGTTTTCTTTGTTCTGTCCTATATTTGTCGTAGGGGTAGTGGAATTTTCCAGATGTCCGTCTGCACAGGTGTTGAATCATTTCTACTGAATTGCCTCCACCTTCAATTCACTTATGAATTGGAAAGCCAGGAAGGAGAGTTTCCAGTGTTAGATTGTAGCGTAAAAAAGAAGATGGGGAGTTAAGCACAATAGTGTTTACAGATTCAAACAGATATTTGGACTTCCGATCATACCACCTTATGCCAGTGAAATGCTCGCTTCTTACCACTAATATAACATCTAAGAAGTGAAGTCTGGGACTTGACTCTTCTTCAACAGTGAAAAGCATAGATTGGGTGAAAACTGTTAAATTTTCTGAGGATTGGGTTAATAAGGAAAAACACAATTTTTGTTCAATGCAGAAATATTTCGAGAATGATCTCGAACTGCCTGGTGCGTCAGACAGAGGATCATTGAGAATCAGCGGAGAGTACTGGACAGCTGTTTTATTTTTCTTCTTCTTCTTCAGCACTTTTCAGTACTACGCACCTATGATCCCACTGATGGGGACCAGGAAACTAGGACCTACAAATGCCACAATGTGAGCTTGCTGACCATTCAGCCAGTGGGAGGCAATCCAACACGGCATATATGAATTCTAATTTCCCCCAATTCGCGCGATTTGAGGCGCGAATTCTAGTGTCAATGCCGTCCGGGTGAGTTTCGGTCCTCTCACCTCCAACTTAGTCACACAACTTCCCAGTAGAACACGTTAGACAACTTCACCTGCAGCTAGTCAGTTAGTTCTCACACTGTAGCACTCCTGTATTGAAAAAAAATGGAAGAATAATACCTACTAACCACCTTCAAAAAGAATGAATACCCATACACAATTTCATCAAAAAGTATTTAAACTAAGGTTTTAACACCAACAAGAAACCATCGTCAAAGAACACAAGATAATTTACTCTACAACGTAAAATAATATCTCTGAAATAACTAACAGCTAGAATATTAAGACCGATTGAAATAGATATTGCACACAAGTCAACCAGTCCAACCACTTAATTCGATATTGTGCAGACCAAAGGATCCAATAGAAAAACCAGATAAGATCAATACAATTTACAAAATAAATTGCATGAACTGTGATAAACACTACATCGGTCGAAGTGAGCGTCTCCTTAGTGTTTGAATCCAAGAATATATACCTAAATCAGCTGTGAAAAGGCATGATATATGTTCCTGTTTCATATCAATGCATGTAGATAATTACGGACACCAATTTGATATTTGAGAGAATTTAGAAATTTTTAATAGAGGAAATACCAAAAGTTATACCAGAGGATTTCTAGAAGCCTCCTGGTATTCAAATGAATCGGCAAGCGATTAACAAACACATTACTGCTGTAGATCGAGTTTACCAGCTAATAAAAAGTAAAATCATCAGATGACAAGAAAGTTCAAATTCAAAGTCAATAAAAAATGATCAATACAGATGTAAATTGACTACCAGTCATGAAGATGGTTGCCAGGAGACGCAATTTTATCCTTCATGAAGGATTCAAATGAGTTCATTTTATACTAAAACTTGCACTGAAGATGTTGTCCAGAAGGGGTCGACAAAAGCTTCGCAATTAAACCAACCAACCAGCTCAGTGAACACAACCAACTGAAAATCATCCACCTGAGGTATAAATTTTCTCTATTACAATTATAATCTAGCAGAAAAGAGATACAATGAGTGGTTGGTTGGTTCTCCTGCAAAACTAATGTATCATTTCCCCAGTCAATAGGTTTTTTTATGTATCATGTGTGATTTTCTACTTGTGATTGACACATATTGACAAAAGAATTTGCTATAAATTACCGTAAAATAACCAAAGCAATAGAATTGAAAAAAAAACCAACTCTAAACTGACGGTAAAATGCTAAAATAAGACCAAAACTGTATAGTTACAGTAGTTATGTAGATAAAGAAAGGGGGGGGGGGTTGCAAGGGGAAATTCTTTCATAAGAGATGTAAGAAATAGGGGAGAAAGAAAACCAAATGGTGTGTGTGTGTGAATGTATGGGGAATTACATAACCAACTCACTTGCTGACAGTGTACCTGGGTCGAGTTCTTTCACTCTATCAGCATAGCGTATTTATTTATATTACCAAAAAAGGGGTGTTAAATGTTACAATAAAAATTGTTCAGTTACACTGTACACAGGTGATAAGAATAAAGATAATTACCATGATATTTTCGTAAAGGAGTAAAGTTGAATTGGTGAAGAAAAAAGATTATTAAATAAGTGAATTGATATTAGATCAAAAGTTGTCGAAAATGCCACCTCCGACACACGCTTAGGGCATCGGTGGTTCAGCGGTAGAACGCTCGCCAAAGCATGCTACCACACGTGGTCCGGGACTCGATCACTGGCTGATGCATCACTCCTAAACCTCGTTAAGCCGGTAATATAGCTGGTAAAGAGGAAACGGTGGACGTGAGGCTAGAAACTCCACCACCGCTACCGCTGCCGAAACTTCAAAGCTTTAGGTTGAAGCCCTATGTACCACTCGGAAATTAAAGTAATAAAAAATTTCTTAAATGTCAAAAATTAAAAGTACAGTGATGATGACAATAAAGACGGCGGAGATAAAGCAAAGTGGAATGAATTCAAGCGAAAAAGTAAACTTTTAGAGCTCTGTAGATAACTTTAAACAATAAATCACGTGGGGCTGAATGAATTGACTCAAGAAGGTGTTCACAAATAGAAGACTTCGCCATCTCATGTTCAGCACTCATCAGTCAAACTGGCTAGTGTTCAGCTATGTGTGTTAACTGAGAACACGTTCATAAGATCTAATGTAATCAAATGCACAGAAGCATCTGAAAGAGTAAATGTGTCGATATTAGATGATTGGATGCAATCGACCACAGGAAGCCCCTCCCTAGACCAAGTTTTCGTGCTAGCTGGCACTCATCCGCGAGCAAGGCGTAATGTCTGCAATCTTGAAGGAACTTATGTCACTTCTGAGAATTAAGTCTGCACCAAACAAAAGAATTGACACAATACACTAGTTACTAACGAGTGTCCAATCAAAGTATTTAATACAGCCCTACAGAAGATCGACAGTGAACCCGAACAGCTCAGTGTTAACGTATATGACTACAGCATTCACTGGGTGACACTGGTTCAAATCTCAGAAAGGACATGAGTAAGTTCCTTCAAGGTTGCAGACACCACGCCATGCTGACTGACTAGTGAGCGCCAACTAGGTTAATCAGGACTTCTTGTGGATTGCCTCCTACCTTCTAATATATCAAAAACTTACAGAGTAGCGTGGTGCCGAGCGACCCAGAATTATCACCACATCTCTAACTTGACTGGTAGAATTCAGTCTGCAGCAAATAAAGGACCAGACACACTACACTAGTTACTAACTAGTATCCAAACAGAGTGTGTGGAGGTCAACAACACTCAGCATCAAAAATAAGATCCGGATTTTCAACTCCAATGTGAAGTCAGTGCTACTATACGGATCAGAGACTTGCACTGAGCGTCATAAAGAGCATCTCAAACAAACTACAGACCTTCATTAACAGTTGTCTTCGCTCAACGCAACTCAAGATCAGATGGCCGGCCAGAAAAGATCAGCAGTAGTGAGGGATCTCTGGGAGCGAACCAACTCAGCAGGAACTGATTGTGAAACAAATAGGCAGGAGGAAATGGAGATGGATTGGCTGGCCATACTCTGAGGAAACTATCAAGTGACATCACTAGACAAGCCATCGCTCGAGTGGAGCCCGAAAGGAAAGCGGCGAGTTGGTCGTCAGTGCAAGGGTGAGTTGGAGGAGGTGATGTGAAGAGGAGATGAAAACGTGTGGGCAGACATGGAGCCAGGTGAAGACTCTAGCAGAGAACAGAACACAATGGAGACGCACGGCTGAAGACCTATGTTCCTCTAGGAATTAAAGGATACAATAATAAATAATAATCCAATCAGAGTAGATGTGTACTGTTCCAAAGAAGAAAAAACAGCTTAAACTGATGTCCTTCTCTGTAGAATTCAACACTGCAATTCATCGATCAGTCAGTTAGTCAGCTAATCAGTCAGTGATTCAGTGAACTAACTAATGTTCAGCTGCTATGAAATGGAGTCAACTATCAACTCTTTACAGTTATGAAGACGCGTAACAACAGAGGACAAGGGTCAGGCAACAGATCGTTCATTAAGGAAAATCAACACATATTTATAGATTTTAATGTACATTATTGTAGATTAGTGTTAGTAGAAAATACAGTCTCTTGATTGGTTGTTTCTCACAGAAAGTTAACCTTGCATCTCTTTGTGGCTGTGTCAGATCATCATCCATATGCTAACTGTATCCGCCTACGCAAAGCCTTTGTTCTCAAATTTCTCACGACCAATATTGGGGACATAAACATTGACGTCAACTTTGGCTAGCAGCTAGCTCTCACCACAGACTGATTGCCAGCTGGCGCATCAGTTAGAGAACCTATTATTGAAAACCGGGGAGTAATATACACAGCTAGCTACTTTAACGTACTTACGCATGACGCTACTGATAGGGATCGAACCTAGAACCTTCAGAGTAAGAGATGAGGTTGTATACCATCAAATCTAACTTCTACCAATTCATGGACAGAAAAAATACATACATACACGCACACATAGTGCTATGATCCTCAGCCGATAAATCTCGATATATGAATAATAAATACTCTTATATCTGTTAAATATGAATGAATACATTGTTAAGCAAAGGAACATAGCACACACTTTATTGAAACAGTC